CTTCAGCTGACGACACTGCACTATTAAGTCACCTTTCCTTTCTTATTAATTCCCAAGGTCTCACATTAATGTGAACATTACAATATAAAATACTCCAAATTTTAAAAGTCCACAGTATTTTAAAATTCAAACACTTTAAAATTCAGTTTTTCGAATATTCAAGCTTTCTTTTAAAATCCAAACTTTTGGAGTTGTAAAACTCCAAAATCTCTTTAAAATTTTAAAGTCTTTCAACTGAGCTCCTATTTCCCATGGGTAGAATGGACTTTTTTTTTTTTTTTTTTTTTTTTTGGTTTTGTTTTGTGAGACAGGATTTCTCTGTGTATCATCCTGGAACTCACTCTGTAGACCAGGCTGGCCTCAAACTCACAGAGATCTGCCTACCTCTGTCTCCTGAGTGCTGGGATTAAGGTGTGCATTACCACTGCCTAGACAGAATGGATATTTTATATATCTTATTAATTATCAGATTTAGTTTGTCTTTACTTTGGGGAAAGTTCATCTATAGTCATAGTGAAGATGAATTTGTAATTTCTTACCATTTCTCGTCTCACGTTCAACCATACTTTCTCATTAGATTGACTGGAGAGTCTTCTTCCTTTACCTCTCCCCGGAAGGGGAACAATTGCCCCTGCAGAGCGCTACTGTGTATGTCTAGATCGGGGAGTATTTGGTGGAAATATCTTCATTTTCTTATATTTATGTTTTAAACGTTCTACTCTAAAAGAGATGAAGATGTGCAAGAGCTTATGCGGGAAGAACTGGACAGGGTCATCCTGGGTGGGTTTGCTTCACTTCTTCCAGAATCTGGTGAGACAGTCCTCAGAGCAGGCTCCGATTCCATTGCTTCCTCATGCCTTCGTGTGGTATATTTTATCATGTGCTCCAGCCTGCTAGTACTGAACTGCGGCGTGGCCAGACTCCCACACAACCCAGACACCAGCTCCATCATTTCTGTGATGTTGTCGGATGTTTCTGTCCTGCCTGATCCCGCAGGTGTTCAGTCCAATGGAAACAGACAGAGGCTTATATTAATTATAAACTATTTGGCCTATTAGCTCAGGCTTATCAACTAGTTCTTACAACTTAAATTAACCCATAATTCTTATCTGTTTAAGCTAGCCACATGGCTTGGTACCTTTTCTCAGTGAGGCTTTCTCATCTTACTTCCTCCATGTCTGGTTGGTGACTTGTGCCTCCTTCCTTTCTTCGTCCCAGAATTCTCTTAGTCTGGTTGCCCGCCCATACTTCCTGCCTGGCTACTGTCAATGTTTTATTAAACCAATATGAGTGACAAATCTTTACAGTGTACAAAAGGATTAACCCACAGCAGTGTGACTTCCGTCAAGTGAAATCAGCGTGCATTCAACATTGGCCTTTTCACTGAACACACTTTCCTTGAGGTTTATATCAGTTGTGTATCACTATTTTGCTCATTTTTTAGGGGGGGAGGGGATGAATGAACAATGGTTATCTTGACTGTTTACCTGTTGATGACATTTACATGATTCTAGTTTGGGGTTATGGGGGAAAATCTGCTATAAACATTTGTTTAGAGTTCCAGCATGAGAAGAAATCTCTAGCTCCCTGGAACAATGCTCTAGGAAGATTGAACATTTTCTTACACTTTCTTGTCTGCATGTGTCCTGGTGCCTGTGCTTGGGTGTCAGGAGACAACTCACAGGAGTCATTGTTCTTCTTCCATCATTGGGCCCCAGGGGTACTGGAGTTAGGCATCTGCCTTGCTGCCCTCAGGAAGATTTTAAACATCTGGCTTCAGTCCTACTCTCTGGAGTGTCTACTTCTTGATTTTGCTTTGGTACATTAAGGTTTTTCTAGGACATTGTCAATTCTGTTTGGTTTTTCATATTTATCAGCATGAAGATTCTAATCAGTCATTTGTTCAATTGCTGTTTCTGTATTTGAGTTGACCTTTTCATGCCTAATATGGCTCATCCTTTTTCCTTCTTAGGAAATTTCATCAGGGGATGATTTTAAATGGTGATATTTTAAGTCTCATCAAGACTCAGCTTTCTCCATCCTGTAGATTGCTTCTCTGTGTTACCCTTACACCAATTTATGGAAAATAGAACATATTTTAAACCTTTTTGTCCTCCACTGTACCTTTAAAATCTGTACAGTGAAGTCTCCCAGTGACCTTGCTCTGGTATGGATATTTAGACACAACACAGGGCTCTCAGCAAGGGCCCTATTGACTTCTGAGGTCAGATAATTCTTTAACGGAAGGTTCTGGGATGTGTCCTGTAATCTGCTGAGCAGCATCCCTGGGCTGTGCCTAAGATGCTAGCCAGTCAGTCCCCAGTTACAACATTGCCAAATATCCTAGGAGAGGGAGACAAAGCTGTTCATGACTCCAAAATTCATTGTTAGGAAACATTAAGCCCCAGAATCGCCATTTTTCTAATGTGTTCATTTGAATGCTCAGCTCATGCATTTTCAGATTCATTTTCTAATGTGACCCTTTTGTTGTTTATTAAGTTTGGGATGTCAGGAGATTTGGTGAAATTTATTTGCTAAACTAGCAAATTCCAGGTATCAGGTGTTCTTCCTGCTGCCCTTTTCAGTCGACTCTCTGGTCTTCTATACTTGTTGATCGATCCGGTGACTTCTGGTCCTTCTAGCACAGCATCTGAAGAATGCACATTTACAGCAGACACACGGTCACACTCACCTTCCTGGAACATCTGCTCTCTATAAGAAATTGTAGGGTGACCGAGGTAGGAACACAAGAAAGAGTATGTAGGAGGGAGAAGTAAGAAATGAGAAAGGACCAAGGAAGGAAGAACGGTGGTCTACTGTTTTGTGGCTACCAGAGCCACAGAGGGGAAGGCTGAATTTGATGTGGTTTATTTTTAGAAGCCCTTAGAGTGACCTGACTGGGGTTGATGGCAGTCCCTTCTCTTACTTGGTTGCCACTAGAGAAAGTTGCAGCCTAACATTGAGTTGTTCTGTGCAACACTGAGTTGTTCCTTGGGAGGCTGATGCTATATGCAGCTCTCAATTGGGAATTGCTTGTATCTAGGTCTGTCTGGCCTGTCTGAAGTCCCTAAGACTATGACCTATATGGGCATCACTGACCAAGTCCCCTCTTGCCTACTTCCTTTCATGCGACATTGATGACCTGTTGTCTTCCTCAGTGTCATTTGGGCTACAGGACTACCATCATGACTCTGATATTTGTCAGTGGGGCACACGGGGAAAGGTGGGCAGAGGCAGGGGTCACAAGGGGCTGTTGAGAGACAAAAGTGTTGTTAGAGCCTATAGGTGTAAATCATTTATTGGCTTTTACTCAGTTTTGGAGGAAACATCTGGTAGGCTTTTAAGTGTTTTCAACGGGAAGGCAAAAATCTCTGAATGTGGGATAAGATGAAGCCCCACTGACATCTGGGACAGGTGGGCTAGAAGAATCTCTTCTGAAGCCACCAGCGCCTTAGCTCCCTGTGACATTTTTCTATTGATTCTGATATTTGCATGTCCATGGTAGATCAATTAGCCTTTAACAATGTCTTCTCTATTGACCTTATCACTTCCCTGCCCAGTGTCATCACTGCTTACCAGAGAGAGACTACAACAGAAACAGTTACCAGAATTATGATTCCTGAGCTGAGAATGGGCAAAATGCTTAAAGTGAGCCACCAGCAGCTCATTACAGGGCATTTCTGTGTCTCATCACTTCTGAATGGCCCTGGGTGAAAGGCCAGCCTCCAGCTCTCTCACTGCTAGGAGGTGGGACTTAGTGGAAAGCAGGTCATTGGGGTATGACTTTGAAGTAGTATGGGGACCCTAGATGATCATCTTTCTTGCTACCATGATGTGAGCAGGCCTTCTCTGCCAGACTTCTGTGATGATGTCCTGTGTCACAAGGCCTGGGCCAAGTGACCACAGTAAAGGTTCTGGAACTGTGAACACAATAACCCTCTTTAGAGTTGCATTTCTTGATGTTTGGCAACTTGACAGAGTCATCTGAGAGGAGGAACCTCAACTGAGCAAATGCATCAGTAAGATCAGGTTGCAGGCAGGCCTATAGGGCGTTTTCTTATTAGTGGTTGATGGGGCAGAGGCCAGCTCATTGTGGATGGAGCCATCCCAGAACTGGTTGTCCTAGGTTCTATAAGACAGCAGGCTCAGCAAGCCATAGAGAACGAGTCTCCATGGCCTCTGCATCAGCTCCTGCCTCCAGGTCCTGCCCTGTTTGAGTTCCTGTCCTGGCTCCCTTGCATGATGAACAGTGATGTGGAAGTGTGAGCCAAACAAACCCTTGCTCCCAAGTTACCTTCAGTCATAGTGTTATACCCCAGTTAATAGTAACACAAACTAAGACACCTAGGAAGCTGTGGGTTGCCCTGGGAACACAACAGTAGTTACTTGGGGCAACTATTCAAGCTCAGGACTTAGGAGACAGGGCTTGGCTTAATGCAGACAAAGTAAGCGATAGAGAAAATATGGGATCACCCAAAACCTAGGTAAATAACAGCATGCAGTATTGAGATGGGCATGCAGAAGCCGAGCCCTGCAAACTGGGACCAGCCGAGCCCTGCACCAGAGCGAGCACAATGGACAGGTACCTGAGCTCCTTCACTTCAGTGTGGTTCCAAATATCAGCTCCAGCCACCTTTTCCCCCTAAATTCTCATGTTACAGCTAAACAAGTCATGTTGTGAAAAACAAAACAAAATCCCCCAAAATACATTTAAAAAAATTCTGGCAAACTCCCGAAGCACACAGAAAACTCGAACTGCATTTCAATCTTGAGATCTCAACAGAAAGAGACGATTGGACTGGAGCAGCATAGCCATCATCATCAGGACTTATGCGCTTAATTACAGAGAAACCCAAAGCTAATAATTTCATGCAGTGCTACAGCCAGAGGAGGCTGGTTACCATGGAAATCTCACTTTCATTTTCTTCTTTTCTGAGCATATTTATGTGATAGAGGAAGAGAAATGTAAACATGGCAGAAAGATCAAACAAGACACGGCACAGTTTGCTGTAAATATTTTACATTATTACAAGAACACAGTGAAAAGGCCCTGCAGACCAATGGATGGGAGCAGGTCTCTGGCAGGAGAAAAGAAGGCTGTACCCCCAAAATGGCCCAACTTTACAAAAATGGTGAGTCTGTTTTAAAAAATGTAGAAGGCAATTTTTGGAACATTCTGTGATGTTAGCCAAAATTCAAAGTGTATTTCTTCTGAATGCAAAATATAACAAATAAATACGTGTTAAATACAGATTTGAGATACAAACGACCAAAGGTAGACAGCTGACTGCTTCATACGCGTAGCTGTCATCCATTTTCAGAATTGTTTACAAAGCCAGAAAAGCCTCCGTGGACCTTGAACATATGTTTCATACTTGATATTTTCAGAAGCACCCTATTTCCAGTGTTTCTTTTATCCACTTCACAAATATATTATTTTAAAACAAAAAAGACTAAAGGTGCTTTAACCTGGTAATAAAATGGCCATACACTGGCGCCCAAGAAAACTGTGAACCAACCACAGGAGTGATTGGTTCACAATGACGCTTGCAGATGGGACACTTAGACAACAGGTGGCTGAGGGCAGCCCTGCTCCCTCAACACTGAGATCATCTCCAAGTAACAAGCAGAGAAAGCAACTCAGGAAACTGTATTTCTGCTCCTGCTCTCTGTGCTGGGAAAATAGGGGGGCGGGCTGAAAGCCCACAGTAGTTGCATGGCCTGGGCACCCATTGAGTGTGATGGGTTTTCTTTTTGTGCTCAGTCTGCTTGGATTCCTGAAGAAGTCAGAGTATTTGTGTGTCTCTGATGCTAACTTTCATTCTCTTGTATTCTCTTTAAACCTGATGTGCTTGCATAGTTATGCTTTTGGAGAGTTCTGGTATTCTAGAGCACCAAAGCACTTGGACCAGACTAAAAAAACTCAGACACAAACTATGGCTCAAAGTGAACAGAGTGTGTGCCAGTGTTTGTCCCCGCTGTCCCTGGCTGCTCAATCATTTACACTGAACACAAACCTAAAACCTATGGGCAGTTAAAGATCTAGAGGTGTTTGACTCAAGAAGCTGATTCGTCAGGCAGTCTTGGTGGTCTATGAAGGAGGAAGATGGAGCTGTCCCACAAGAACTATGCCCACACGGACAGCTTGTATCACATGATAAAGCTGGGCAACAGACACTGTGTTAATGAAGTGAAATTCCAGCAGACAAAGGGTATTTTGTGTCTCTGGCCACTTTGACCCTGAATTTGAACTAAATGAGCTTCTTTTATGTTTGATTTGATGCTCAGAGCCACTTGCTTGTGAAGCCTACCTAGAGTAGCCTGTTGAAGCTGGAGGAAACCATCCCATTGACAGCAAATAAAAAGCGAGCTCCGTTGGGATGTGTTCACATCCTGCGTACCGTGTCTGTGCGATGCCCAGGATCTGAAGAGTGATGGAAAATTCTCTCATGGTGGAACTGTGCTGTTCTTCGTGTAGCTCTTCTGATTGCTGTTCTTTAACTAGCATGGGACAGGCCCCGCAGTACCCCGTGGCTGATTTACCACAGTCCTCTGGGTGAGGATCAAGCTTGGTGCCTGCTACCATGTTTGTACACGCTAACAAGTCTAGCATTATCTTAGGAGCTGGCAAGCAAGTTTTCCCACCAAATTCTTTGTAAGAGGAAACCCTTAAAAAAGAAAAGGCATGGAATGGAGAGCTAAAACAGTATCAATAATAACAGCGGTCTAAGTCCCTCGTAGCCCCTGAGGGTTTGAACACAGGGGCTCACTGTTTGCTCTGCAGTGATTGTCAGGAAAATCGAACACCTCAGGGTGATTTGACAAGTGCTTCGCGAGGAAAATAGGAACAGGGGCTTGGATTCACGGGCAACTTCTCTTTTCATTCTTGGGTTTTTGCTGCGCTCACAGGTGCCTGAGGCGTGTCTCTTATGGGGTTCTGTTGTTTGCTCTGGTGGTTACAGGCAGACACCTGGCTTTCTTACTGGGACAGTCTAGCATCTGCTGGGTGGCTTTTACAGCCTACTTATCTGATGCTACAGAAATTCCCAGCAAACAGGGAAAGTGGCAATGTCTGGTTTTCTAGGAAGGGAGATACTCTGGGAAGCTACGAGGAGAACTGATGTCTTCGTACAATGTTCTGGGGTGCCTAGTAAGGCAGACTGGCTTACTTTGAACCCTCATCGTGCCCTCTTAGTTGAAGCTTTGGAAGACCACTTAACATGATGTAACTTGAATAACTTAAATATTGCTCTTAAGGAGGGATTAGAGGGGTAGGAATTAGCCTGGAGTAGTGTGTGGATGTCCAGGGCCTACTGTGGAGTATTCTGTCCCACAATTTCTTTGGGGGCAGGAGGACAGTTTGCTAGCTCAAGACAATAAGGAAACCTTTAACCTGGACACGTCCACTCACAGTGGTCTTGATGTCCTTAGAAAAAGTCCCCAAGTCTTTGCTGATAAGGCCGCTCATACAGCATACCTGCCGCCTAACGGTGCCATCTCCACTGGTCGCCTCCTTTCATAGGCTCACTGTGTGCTTGGGCTTCTCAAAAGAGGCCTGCACTTCCTGTAAGGCAGGGAAGTCCTGAGAAGAACTCTTGGGTTTATAAGCCAACAATTAAGGCTTTTCTGTTCTGGTAAAGAGAAACTTTGCAAAGCCGAAGATGAGAAAGGATAGCAGCCAGCAGTCAAAACCGAGTACGGAAAGCTGCAGCTCTTGGCCTTCCTGGGCCTTCCTGGGCCTGGCATGGCAGACGGGAGGGGAGACATTCTGTGGAGACTGAAGGGGTGTTATCTTTGGATGTTTCTGTGGGTCTCTCTGATGTTTTCACTGTCCTCTGTCTTCCCAGATGCCTTTGCTGGAAGCCCAATCCCTTACCCCACTGCCCTGTGCTTGGCCTCAGAATGTTTCTATTTTTCTCCTTCTCTTAATTGCTACCAGGGTAAAGTCAACAAACATGGCTACTTTTCCAGCTTCCCAGGCTGCTTTGTTTCCCTTCATACAGCACAGCACAGCAGGGCCCCTCAGCAGGGAACTCCAGGAACCATGGAGTTACTTATTAGTGGTCAAAGGTGTCACAAGATGATGTCAGTATGTTCTCATTTAGGAATTAGCTTCTACTGCATAAAAAAAGCTATCTAATGAGATGTGAAGAACTAGTGGCCTTTGCCACGAATGTTTTGGCATTGATAACAGTGCAAATGTAGAGGCTTTGGCTCCTCTCCTTCAGGACCGAGCACAGGGGACCACGTGGAACATAACCTGGCTCAGTGTCAGCTCTGGGAGGTGCCAAGCAGTTCCTGCTGCAGGGAGTGGCCCTGGCACTGGGGTGGGCTCTTCTGCAGCTTTGGGGCTGTTGATCTGTTCTGGGTTTTGTGGGAACGGTCTGACACCTGGCAGTTTCCTTAGACTTCAAGGGGCATTATCTGTCTTGTCCACTTTCTCCTGCTGCTCCAGGGAACTGGTTCTTTCCCGTTTTGCCTCCCTGCACGGCTAGGCAGCTCACTGGCAGACCTGCTGCACCCTGCCCATTACCCTTGGGCACTGTAAAGGAATGAAGAATATCACAGCAGGTTTTCCCCTGCTGTCCCAGAATCTTCATGCCTGTCAGGATAGAGTGTTTCTAAGGGCAGTCCTGAATTCAATCTTTGAATCAGTGGAGGGCAGTGGGGTGGTTTGTGGAGGTGACGGTGCATTTCTCAAACTGACTTAGGGCAGTGATATATAGTTGACTGACCATCTGTATTAGAATGTGACTTTCAAAGGGACATTTTATGACGTCTGTATCAGTAACTCCTTGCAGGGTGATCTTGCTGGCTTTGAAATCAGCGTCTTTTCTTATACAGAAATGAGTGATACATAGTACACAGTCACACTTGATATGAAACTAGTAAGTCCAGAAAAATATAAAGTAAAAAATCTAATTTAAAATAGTGATATTTAGAGTAAATCAGTTAATAAGAGGTAATATTTTTGATAGTAAAGTCTCACGCCGCTTTAACGATGGATTTCATGTCATATAAAACCTTGATTCCATCTACTGAAGATAACGGCACATAGAGCGTCTCTGCAGCTCTCTTTCGGTTCTGGTGCTGGTTTATATGAGGGCTCTGATCTCCCCGTGACAATCGCATCTGCTGTCAAGAGACATGAAGGATGTCGACGGCATGACAGGTGGAGTGGGCTGGAGGAAGGGGGCTCAGGCAGACAGCCCCTTTCAGATGTCACTCTTGCATCAAGGACATATGGTACATCAGGATAATCGCATGGACCATGAAGGCTATGCCTCAGACTCCCCAGACCATGACACACAGCCGGTCTTCTCACTCCAGTCTGCAGAAGTGAGAAGTCTTCTCATTTCTCACTGCAGTCTGTGACTGCAGCCGGTCTTCTCACTCCCTGAGTCCCAGGGTGTAGCACATATTGCAACCAAAATACTTGCTTAACAACAGTCTTGGTACCAGCGCTGTAGAGTTGGTCAGGGGGGCTAGTGAACAGAAATAGGGGCTCCAAAGGAAACTAATACAATCTCAGTCATAAGAAATTCTGTTCCCAAACAACTCAGCAGTGGAACCACCTGTGAGATGCCCATTGACTAACTCCAGGCTGTACTGATGTCTGAGAAGGGGCCAGCTGTGCCGGGGAACTAACTCTACTGTCCCTGTTGTCTTGGAAAAAGGAGAAAGAAATCACATGGGGCATCTCCCTGTGGACCTTGTAGCGGGAGGGGCTGAAAGAAAGCATCACAATTCACTTACGGTTTTCCTAAAAAATGGCTTTGAGAAGAAAGCTTAGGTCACACAGAATACACAAAGATGCCAATTTGGCAGACAAGTTCCCTTCTTTAAAAAACAATGAACTACTCATTTCTAATGAAGGCTTCTTGTGATTCAACGTAGGAAAAGGCAGAAGGAAAGTCAGACTGCTAAGTTTATGGCCTTCTCCTTCACGCCCAGACAGCTAAACTGAAGGAATGCTGAGTGTAGCCATGAGCAGGGCTATCAGCAACTCTTGGAGAATCCATTTGTAAAATAAAGGCTTGCGGCCAGGCTCAAGCCTATCCACACCAGTGGGAATTTTGGGCTGCACTGTTTACTATTATTATTTAACAAGACAAATCCTGGAATTTGGTGCATGTCTGCAGCCTCTTTTCCCTAAATCAACTTGCAAATCAGAACTGTATTTATATGTGCACTTTTTGGGTACGGATTAGCCTCCTAAAGTACATAATTCCAATAATTATCAGTGACAGAAGGGATGAATAAATTATGCTTTGAGCATAACAAAATTAACAGTAAGAATGTTTTGCATAAGCTTTTCTTAATGCATGCGCCTATGTTAAATTTAATATTCTATACGACTGACATGATCCTGAAAGGCTCCCAATGAGTTAATCTTAAACTGTACCTCTGCCTGTTCTGGGACAAAGAATAAAATAGAATTTAAATGCTGCAGATGTCAAGATGTTTTGAAAAGCTTTTTTAATTTAAGCAAAGAGTTATGATGTGAATTGCAAATCCCAACAGCCTAGATGAGTGAAATTATCAATGCCATGTTCTCTTTCCAGCAGAATGCAAGAATTAAGCTTCGGGTCTTGTTCACAGAGTTCGAGCCAAGCCAGTCTCCTTTCCCTGGCTGGGAGAGCAGTGCTGAGAGGTGGTTCTTTCTTTTTCATAGACAAAATTTGTATTATAGGCGGACTGACTTGGAAATCCTGAAAGGGAACGTCTTATCTCCTTCTGAGGGCTGGCAGATGCCTGGAGAGCACAGCGCTGAATCTGAATTCTGGAGTCTGCGCTTGAGTTTCCATGGTAGGTGCCATTAAAAGCGCGCTCTGCTTTAGCAGTGTCTGACCTGCGGGAGCGCCGTGCTGTGATAGGGCTGCTCTGTGTGGGGCAGTGTACTGCTGAGGGCAGGCGCACACAGTCTTTACTTTAGTCTGCATGTATGATCTTTAAATGTGTAGAAAGTGAGCAAGGAGGTTGGAATGATGGGTAGAGTCACTCTCCTCTGCAGTGGCCTCCTCTGAAAGTTAGAGTCTGGTCTATGCTCTACGCTGCCCGGAAGGGAAGGGACGAACTTTCAGTCTCACAAGCTCTTCAACACATGTCAAGGAACCCCTAAGGTGATGTCTGTCTGAACAGAGGCCTGAGGGCTTAGTGAAGACTTCTGGGCCACATCTTCCCCTGAGTGAGACCATCTCCCAGACACACTGATCCTGAGACAACTGTAGATAGATCATGGGGCAGTTCCCTGGACACAGTTAAGATTCACTTCAACCAAATCCTAGTTTTAACTGCTGTATACTTGATAGGCCGAAGACATCTTTAATGATGAGCCTGCTTGCATACCTGTGAGCTATCAGGAAGGTAAAGAGGGGACGGAAGTGTGGGCATCCCTAGGGCTTTTCTTCATTAAAAGTCCTTGTTTTCTGACCCATCTATTTCATCCTTAGCCACAGTACTCTTCAGTAGGTGTATGTGGATGTGTCTGGACATATGAACCATGGGCTCTGAAGGGTCAGAAACTGGTACAAAGAAAGGAAACTCCATTCTGGGACTGTCCCCGAGGATGAAGACACATGATTATCATCATGCTGTGCCTTCTGTGGACCTCAGTATCTCTAAGAAAGTTTCCACTGAGCTCTAGGAGATCCTGAAAGATTTCTTAGGCCTTGTTAGGAAATTCAGACTACAGACACAGTGTATTATAAAGGTGCAAATCTGGAGGGATAGCCGGCTGTTTTGTCTTCTCCCTGTTGGGCACTGGCTAGCTGCTATTTCCCAGCCTGCCTTCCTAGTCACACATGTCTCTTGCCAGCCCTGTCCTCTGCAGTCTCCTGCAGAAGCAGCTGCCTCCACCCTGTGTGCCCTCTGGGAATTTTCCACACACTACTTTCTGCAGCCTGACTGAGGAGGTAAAAGACAAAATAACACAGGAGTGTGATGTTCTCACTGGGCTTGTTCTGACAGGAAAGAAAAGAAAAACCCTAGGAGGTCCAAGTAATTCCCAATATATGATTATATTTATAGATACAATCTCGCCTTGGCAGAGGAGAAAGCCCACAGTGGCGGGAAGGCATCCTGCGAGCCTGTGCTACCAAAGCTGTTTATAGCACCGACTGAGGAGGGCCTGCAGCAGAAGCCCACGGGCTGTGCCTCAAGGAGAAGACCTTGGAGGGACATCAATGGTCCCAGGCAGGAAAACACAGGCCTTTTATCTTCTCAGTTAGGCCTGTGCTTTTCTCTGTACAGTGGCCTCAAACAGCAGGGTTCTGTGGTTAGCTAAGATGGCCCTGGGTAGGACTGTTTATTTCTTGAATAAATTTGCCTTTAACATATTTTAAAGTGGAACAGACTTTTAAAAACCCAGTTAATAAAAAACATAACCTGCAAGGACAGCTGTAGTAAGGTGGTATGAAGTCGGGTGGCTGAGGACAGAGTCTCATAGGTGGATTCTGGCCCTTGCTGGCATTATGTGATTTTCTTCTTGATGGCAGTGAGCTCTTTGAGAAGGTCGCTGAATTTAGGGCGGTTCTCAGGCTTATAATCCCAACACTTCATCATGATTTTAGAAATCTCTTCTGGACAGTTCTGTGGGGCCGACATCCGGTATCCTGAAGATTCAGAAGAGGAGAGAACTCAGAGCTGGGGAAGATATGAACACTCACACAGGGCATTACGCTGTGTACAGTATGCTGCTTGTAGGTGTTAGTGCCTTATGCTTTAAGCAGAGCAGAAATTACAGACACTGCTGGTGTCCCTCTGGCGGATGGCATTACAGAGCCATGCATATGTCAGCAGACCTATAGCACTCATGGTGTTTGGTAAGCTGTAGCGTACGCACATACATAGCTGAGTTCTGAGGATCAGCTTCCAGAATTATCAGATGCAGACTCTGGAGATGTGGATTTATTCTGCACTGAGCAGAGAAGGAACAAGTTCCAGCCTTCACAGGCTGCTGTCTGGCAGCGCTGGGGTCCTGGACTGGGAGGTGTGTGTATGAGGACGGAAGGCAGGCCACCCCCACACTCAGGCTACCCACGGCAGGCTGGCCACAGGAGCAAGGCTGGGGCAGACCTGACCGGAACACGGCTCTCGCTGGAAGCTGTGTCCGACACAAGCATGTGCAGTGTTACTGCCACCTGGTCCTGTCAGGAGGACCACGGCCTTTCTTCAGATCACAGCTTCTCTAAACCCCCTCTGGAAACGGAGGCATTTCCACTTGGATACCACAGGGATCTATCTGTCTGGTGGTGTGGGAGAATTGTCTGTATTCTGTCAATCGTATTTTAATAAAACGCTGATTGGCCAGGCAGGCAGTATGTAGGGTGGAGCAAAGAGACTGGGAGTATTCTGGAAGCAGAAGCTCCCTCAGCCAGTTCTGCCCAGACCACAAGAGAGGAAAGATATAAGCTGCCCCACTGGAAAAGGTACTGAGCCGTGTGGCTAACATAGATAATGATAATGGATTAATATAAGAGCTAATAAGTAGCCTGACCTAATGGGCCAATCAGTTTATAATCTTATGGAGTCTTGTGTGTGATTTTCCCTGGGAGTTGCCAGCTGTGGGGTACCGGGCGGGACAGAAACCCCTACAAGCCGGCCCACATGATACAGTCTGGTGTGGAACACAACACCACTCTAAGGCAGCCTGTCTTCTGCCACCTCAGTGGGGCAGGACAAAAGTGAAGATCTCTCTCTAAAGTGGACAGGCTCTGCACACGGACACAATCTCATATAAACTGTGATAGTGCAGGACTGGTATCTGCACAGTTCACACTTGAGAACTGCAATTAAGTTGCAAAAACGAATTACAAAAGAAAATAATGTTTTAAATAAGTTCACAGTTGTGTTGGCCATGTTCACAGATACACGTAGCTGCATGTCACCTACGGGACATGGGCTGGCTCGCATGGCTTTGCCCTGCTCTGCGGGAGCCATAGCCCCATGGTGTTTGGTAACAGACTGCTATGACATGTTCCCTCCCTACAGCATTGTGACCCTTCCCTCCCAGATCTGGTGGCGGACACGCCATGGGCACTGCTGTCCTGGTGCCCATGAACACAGAGCACCAAGGCTGGTAGACGGGAACGTGACACACCCAGGCCTTGGCTCACCTCTTTCCACCTGTTCCCGGGCCTGCTGGTTTGTCATTCCAGGGTACGGACAGACTCCTAGGCTGAAGGTCTCCCACAGGAGGATGCCAAAGCTCCACACGTCACTTTCAGAGCTGTATCTCCCTGAAAGGGCGGAAATGGTCATAGCCAGGTGAGTCAGCGGGACAGGAGGATAAGGGTTTGGCTCTGAGTGTCACCTAGCACGGCTAAGCCTCCAAAGGAATGTCACAAGTACATCCATTCTTGGTACTTGTGTTAATTCCATGCCGAGCAATGTTAAGAATTAAATGGAGTCTTCAGGAGGCTAGTTTAATCACATGACCTATAAAATGATTTTCTTCTTTTCTAAAAACAAAAAGTCAGCCAGCATGCAGGCTTACGTCCCCTATGGTATCTGAATGAGGTGGTTGGTTTATGTATAAAAATATAAATTTGCACACATCAGTCCCTAGGAGATTAAATAAGTTGGATTCCTACAATTTGACCTTCTGCCTGCATCATTTTTTTCTATATAAAATTACAAACAAAGCAATAAGGAAAGTTTCTTAACTTCATTTTTTTCACTTATCACTGTTTACAGATATTCTTACATGTTTAAAGGTCTCATTTTCTCCACTGATAGTTTCATTTGCAGAAAATGCATTTCTCTGTGAGGTTTGAATAGAGCGGAAATTAACATAGCTGGCTGATAAAAACAACTTCTTCAAATTACATGGTGCCTTGTTTTGTCAGAATACCGAGCTGCACCTGTTGCTGAGCTACATGAGCTGAACTCTTAGATCTTTCTCTTTTGATAGCCTTCAGTAGAAGCACTGAGATAAAATCCCCCCAAAGATGCCTTCTGGAGATGGGTATGAGATCAGGGAGGAGAAGCAGAAACATCCCTCCCTGTCTCCAAGACAATATGCACTTGTTCTGCCACAACCAAACTCCATCTGCAGTAATGTTAAGGTTTTTCTGTTTTGTTTTTGTTTTTGTTTTTTTAAAAAAACAAGGTGCTCCAACGCGGGCCTCCATCTGTATCGCCATCCATCGCCAGATGAAGGATCTCCTGGAGGCCCGCGTTGGAGCACCGAACTGAGCCCCCCAAGATCCAAATGAGGAGCAGAAGGAGGAAGAAAATGACGAAGGACTGCGAGGGATACTATCACCCACTGATACAAGGGGTTGGATCTAATGAGAGTTTACCAAGGCCAGATGGACCGTGACTGAACGAGCACGTGATCCAACCAGATTCTCTGAATGTGGCCGGATTTTCTGAATGTGGCTGGCCTGCAGTCTTTCTGAGAAGCCATTGACAATGACACTGGGACTGGTTTCCTCTGCATATACTGGATTTTTGGGATCCAGTCTGTTTGGATGCTCACCTTCCTGGACCTGGAGGGAGGGGGGAGGAGCTTGGACTTCCCACAGGGCGGGAGACCCTGACTGCCCTTGGGGACAAAGAGGGAGGAGGAGAGGGAGGGGGGGAGTGGGAGGGCGTTGGGAGGAGGGGTGTAAATGGAAACTTTTTATAATTTAATAAAATTACTTTCAAAAAAAAAAAAACAAGGTCACATGTAGCCTAGGCTTGCCATGTAGCTTAGGCTAGCCTTCAAGTCCCGATCTCCCACCTCTACCTCTCCAGTGCTGGGATTACAGGTGTGTGTCACCATGTGCAGCTTGAAGGTTTCTTGACTCAGCATTTTCTATCCACCTGCTACCCCAGGATTTACAAATGCCACTCCTGGAAAACTGTAATCTTCCTCTAAAACAGAACAGCCTCTTCCATTTCCTGATGAAGGTAGACCGGCTGGAGTATGCCTGTGCTGGGGTGGCACTCTCAGACTGGACTCACCCACCGAGCAGTTCCTGCCATGGGAATTAGCTTCCCACTTCGGAGAAGGTCATTATTGACATCCCTGTGCTGTTGGGTAGGAAAATTGCTTTTCTTCTCTACACATCAAGTCTTTTCATGAAACTCATTCAGCGGCTAAAAGTTAAGGCTAATTTGTAAAGAAGTGAAGATCTGGAGACACGTAGCTTATGTTGTCTGGTGGAGATCAAGAAAGGCGCTCTGTGTGTACACAGACCACACTTCAGAAAGCCACGGAACCTGCCTGACCTTTGAATCTGGTTTGGTGGATCGTTTCAACACCACGGAGTAAGTCAGGGCAGCAGACTGCTGCTGTCTTGCTGTACTGACCCTCACAGTGCCCGTCTGGAGCAGAGGCACTACGAGGAGACATCCTGCTCACGTCCTGTTCCTGACAACATAACCAATGAGAAAAGGCTGTCTCCTCTCATACCAGACTCTCGGGAGTTCTAGCACACTGAGAGGAGTTTCTCCTAGTTAAGCCGTGAGCTCCACCATCATCACTAAAAAATCAGGTGGCAAGTGGTTAACTTTTAAAATAATTTCTGAGATTATAATTACAGCATTTCTCCCTCTTTCCTCCACCCAAACTTTCCTATATGCCTCCCCACTCCCCACCAGATTCAGGGCCTCTTTTCTCAGTTACTGCATGCATAGCTGTATGTGCACATGCATACATCTTCCTAAGTATGTCCCTGTTCAGTATATTATTATGTTACGTGGATGCATGTTTTAGGGCTGACCGTTTCATACTGGACAACCAATTGGTGTGTTCTTTCCTGGGGACGACCCGCTCTCCCACTCCCTGCTGGAAAACTTTCCCAATAACTGATAAGTAGGTGACATTATTTCTTAGTTGAAGACGAGTATACTACTTTTTCTTTATAAGCCTAGTACTTCTGTTGAAAACCAGACTGAGAACAGAAGGAATACAGTCTGAGTATACTAGCAAGTAATGGCTGGGGAGTGTTACGATTTGAATGTGAGCTGTCCCTATAGGCCCATGTGTAATCTATTAGTCCCTGAGTAGCGGTGCTATTTGGGAAGGTAATGAATGAAGCCTGTGATTTTTACTTGTCATAAGCGGTCAAGCACAAGAAGAAAATTCAGGCACAAGGGCTTTTCACAAATATTTTGCATCTAAAGAAACACTCTGTACAAATACGAGTGTTACAGCCATATCTTTTGTCCAGAGGTTTTCCCTTGAGAACAGCACCCAGCTCTGCGAAGACACCTGTGGGTTCCCTGAACTCCAAGGCTGGTGGTGGTCGATGACTAGGAAGCTCACGAGAGCCCCTCTTGCTGGGCATGAAGTATCTGACTCAGCCCTGACAAATCTCCATAACACTGACACTCAAATCTTTACCTAGAAAGAAACTCTGGTGGCTCCTCGAGACATGAAACTAGTTCCCACTCACATCCTGGGCTGCTGGTGCAGATGTGAGGTACAGCGCCAACCAGGACAGACACACTGACAACCGTGGGCTGACACGGACTGCCTTCCATGCATTCACATGGAATGTGTGCACTTCTCACAATAGAGATATGTAAAATTTTTCAGTGGACAAAAAAAATAATAAAATAAATAAATCCCTGCTCTCATAGAAGATAATAACCCACGTCTCTCTTTGCTCAAGACTTATGTAAGCTCCAGGGACAGAGGCTGAGAGCAGGATCCTGCGGAGGGAGAAATGAGGACCTGACTGACACTACTTAACCTTAGATGAGATTACTGAACCAGTTATAAGACATTCAAACTAGCAGACCAGACCCTGCAACACTTGATGCAAGCATACACCAAGTGTGCATGTGCGATGTTCTGAGGAGCGGTGCATAATGGAAGGGAATCATCTTTGAACACGAGACTTCTTGGATGTCTAGCCACACTCACTGGCTACTGTAACCTAGCGATCTCACAGTGAGATGTCTGAGGTCTGTGTCTGAGAGCAAGGTGAGAACATTTACACTTGGTCCGTGCTGCCCCTCAAGTAGTTCCAGCCTGGATTCTGCTCTACCCCAACCATGTTGTGAGTGCTTTGTGCTGATGCAGGCCACTTCCACTACCGAAAGGAAGACTAGAGTCCATTCATACCATAATTAAGAGCCTCTGGTGCTGTCCATTTAATCGGAATCTGCTTTAAGCCGGAAGATGAATATACTCCGCCGTCTTCTTGCCGAGACATTCCAAAATCACTGATTTTCAGAATATTATTTTCACCTACCAGGCAGTTTCTTGCAGCCAGGTCCCTGGGTTATAACAAGACACAGAGAACGCCCATTAAAACAAGTTGAAAGCCGCTTTCACATTCATGACTTCCACACTTTGCATTTTCACATCTGCAGTGTATCTATAATGAGGTTAAGAATGATCGCGATTTACCAGGCTTCCCATCAATTCTGTCACAGGTAAAAATCACCCAGGAGGACATTTGCATACGGAGCAGGCCACATGCTAGTTTTCTAGGCATCAGCCAGATTTCCATTTAAATAGAAAAACTCAGATTCTCTGTTAACAGAGGAAGTCACAGAGGTGAGGCTAAGAGAATGTGACATTGTTTCTATGTTGACCAGCTTCCCTAGGGCAGCACTGCCCAAGGGCTGCTGGGATAATGGACTGTTACCTACTGTCCACAAAAGCAACTCGGTCACGTGCTGCTGAGTATGTGCAGTGTGGCTAGCGTGCCTGAGAAGTAGCGGCAGGTGGCTGCGGTAAAAGGTCATCTCTAGAGGTTCCCCAAGGACAGGCAAAGGCTAAGGTGGGGAGAAAGTGGACGAACTCTCCTACTGCGCCCGGGACAGACCAGACTGCACAGTGGCTCGGCTCTCTCTCCCTCATAGCTCTACTCTATCCATCACGGGATGTACCAGAGCTAACAGAGAAGTCCCTTCCCCAAGTTTAGTGAGGAGGGCACGCAGCAATCAGATCCATATATAAAGTCATGAGTGTTATCACCATAGGACAGGATTTAGGGTGCGTGGATGTAAACGTGCGTAAAGGGACAGACTCACAAGAGGGAATCCTAGGTTAGACAGGCTTGTCCAAAGGCCTCTTTGATAACTGGCATTTACTTAAAGACCTGGAGAGTGTGTGTTGGTTAGGTGTGGTCTGAAGGAAAGGCGGGTCAGTCAAGTTTGACAATGACAGTTTCCTCCTAACATCCATTTCTTCTACTTTAGTAAAGGAACCTGGAGTTTAGCTGAATGTTTGGCCATATGGTTTAAAACTTGAAGCTTTCTAGTGTCCCCTGAAGTCAGGCGTGGCTGTGCCTTAGGTGCGGGCTGATGAAACCGCAGCATAGGAATTCTCTACAGTGTCCACACAATTGTTTGAAAGCAAGGAGATAGACTGTAGCTCTCCCCCTCCCTTCTGCTAGCCTGAGCAGGGATATGAAGGAAGGTGTTAGCAGAGGAGACCTAGCACGAAGAGCAACCACAGCAACACCATCAGAACAGCAGGCAACCAGGAGCCTGGGATCACTTACGAGTTCCAGAGTTATACTCTGTGCTTGGATTTGTTACATATGAGAATTCTTATGCTATTTAAACGGTTTTCATTTCTTAACTTTGTGTGTGCGTGGTGTGTGTGTGTGCGTGCGTGTGTGTGTGTGTGTGTGTGTGTGTGTGTCTGTGTGTGAGATTATAAGCAAAATACAGTGGTGAACCTGGATTTAGATACCTTGAGTTGGAGAGATCTATGGGATGTCTCAGTGGAGGAGGAAGTAAGCAGCTGGCATATCAATTCTGAAGTCACAAGAGAGATCAAAGAGACAGCTGCAGTTTTTAGATGGCATTTGAAGGTATGGGATTAGAAAAGCATGCACGGTCAGTGTAGAGAGATGGAAGGTAGCATCCAAAGATGACATAATGGTCTAGGGAAGGGGCAAAAACAGACTAAGGGGGCAGCACAGAGGCAGAGAAAGCCCTACCTCTCTATTCAGCGAGGACTGCATTTCAAGGAGGAATACTGATCAGTCAGCCACTATGGAGAATTCCAGGGCAGACCGTGAGCTGGCTACTGACTGGTCGACATGAACTAGGGCAATCTTAGAGATGCGGTGGTGGCTGTAATAAGAGCATGACCACAGCGGACAACGGAAAGGAGAAAAAGCAGCTAAAAGCTCTGCTGAGCAGATTTGCCATAGAGACAGAAGTAGAGAGGTCTACAGAAGGGCTTCAGCACGAGGGGATGCCCCACCCTGCCCACTGCAGAAGCCAGTCTATGTGTGCATGCTGGGATATGATGCAGGGAAAAGTGGCCATCACAGATGAGAAGCTCTTTCAAACCACACATGAATCCTGCCACCTCTTGCATTCTAATTTAGATTCCTAACGTTCAAACACGTATGTGGGACACAGGCGGTGCTCAGAAACACTCTATGAGTGGATACCTTCTCATATAAATGTTCCAGGATAAAGGCATCCATTCTGGCTTTTCATTTTAAATTATCTTCTCCTGAGTAAATAGCTGGTTTTCTTTTCAACTGATTCTTATATGTGTGGTTTTGGAACACATATTTAAGAATTAATTTTTGGAAGTCTTGAGTCATATTTAAAGCTGTTTTTTGAAATGAGGTCTCACTGGGCCCTGGCTGGCTTTGAAGTCATTTCAATCCTCCTGCCCCAGCATCCCAAGGTCAGTGGCTCCAGGCATACACTGACACCAGGTAAGTCTTTGCATCTTTAGCAACAGACACATAAACATTCCACTGGTACCTAAGAGTACCCAATTAACCTTACAATTACATGCCACAATTATGACCAGAGAAATAAATAACATTTTCCGCTTTGGTAGGGAACTTGGCTGGCTGTCCTTATAGCCATTCACAGAGAAACGGGAAGCATTTTGCTCTGCTGATTTGCTGCGACTACTTTTATTCATCGGATCAAGACTCACAACGGAGAACCATGGAGGAAGCCCAAGTTAAAAACTGAATCTGACTCACTGCCTGGCTTTAAATGTGGCAGCTCACCATGCGCTCCCACGGGGGGAGTTTCCTGCCAAAGCAAGTGACAGTGAATGGCTGGTGTGTAATTCACTGCATCTGTAGGAAGCTGCTAGCCATGTCCTGGGAACTCCAGGTCTTGCCCACGGTTGGCTATAATACACTCCAGTCCACTACCTGTCTGTGTGGCCTTGACATACTTGGCTGTGCTTTCCTCATCTAACAAATAGAACTTGGCAGGGCTAGGAGGGGTAACGCATACAAAGTGGCAGCATACGGTAAACACAGCATCAACTTCCAGTAAGCCACTGTGGGTACTGCCCTTGCTCATGGGTTAGTAGTGCTACTGTTGAAACTACGGCTGTTACATGAGGCCCGGAACAATATGTGGAAGTCATTTTGCAAACCATGTCAATATCAGAGTCTGTCAGGGTCACAAAGGAATAGGAGCAACACCTGAAACATGACTATAGAGCCATGGTGCAGAGATCTAATAAACGATGTGTCCACACTTTCACATGTTTGACTTCCTCTTGAGACACTGAAGGAGTAAGAATGTCGACTCTCTCATGTGGGTGCAGGCCTGGCTCATCCGGTTTGGGAGATGGCACTGTGGGTGTGCAAGGCTTCCCTGCTGCACTGTAATGCTGCACACAGAGGATGATCCAGAAGGGGACTAGGGCTTCGCTACTAACTAGGTTCAGATTAGACCGCATTATGTCACTGCGTCAGATCTCATGGCTCCCTCCTTTCCCTTTACCCTCTTCTGGGGATGAGGAGGACATGTTTTCTAGTACCTTAAAACAGTCATCAGATACAGATCTGTGGTTAGTAACACGGGGCTGATGTGTGGGAGATTTCTGAAAGATTGTGGCTACATTTAATTCAGAGGATCTACTGCAAGCAACACAGCCTTTAAAATTCTGGATCCAGACAGTCTTCAAAACCCATACTGTAACTTTGGTTCTGTCATGACAGTAAGCCCATAATGCACTGCCTGCTGGTTATAACTAAAGCCTCCAGGTGAGCCAGGCAAACACAAAGAGTTTTCAAGATTCATGCATATGGATTCCGGAGTGTGACAGAAACTTGGAGAGGTAACACAAGTTCCCTCTCTGTTCTGTTGCTCTTTGGTACTTTTGCAGTGGCCCTCAAAACAGGTACAGAGCAGGCACCTGAACTGGTTTCATAAATCCCACAGATGGCCGTCTTTCTACCAGGTAGGGCGCAGGGAAATGAGTGAAGAACCAGAGGGCTCTCCTGACCCATGTGTGAGTGCACTGCTTCTGTGGCACACACCCACACTCACTGAAACTAAGGCGGTACAACAGCAACCAAAGGCAGAAGTTTAGTCTGAAGCAAACGATGTCTTGTGGCAATCATTTTGTTCTGCAGCATGTTATGGCAGGGACCTCAAGTCTACTCACTCCCAATACCAAGACTACAATTCAGATTGCTTAACGGTCAAAATTTTTATTTTATTTTATTTTATTTTAAGAGACAGGGTTTCTCTGTGTAGATCAGGCTGATCTTGAACTCAGAGATCCACCTGCATCTGCCTCCCAAGTGCTGGGACTGAAGGCATGAGTTACCACTGCCTGGCCAACAGTCAAAACTTTTAAGTGTGGGTAGGGCTGTAGTTCATTTGGTGGCACGGAAAAACTTAGCAAGCTATGAAGGGCTTTAGGTTCATTCAACAGCACCCTACCTACCCAGGATCAGCTGACCAATTATAGATTCTGAAGGTAAAGGGAAAATACACTCAACAAATACCAACCCTGTGACAACCAGAAAATAGAATCAGACAAAAAACAAACAAAAAAACAAAACCCACAAAAAAACAAAACAAAACAAAAACTCCAAACCCAAAAACAAACAAAAACTTTATGGCAGCCATTAAGATAAAATATACACTTGCATGGAAAGGCAGGAATTATTCGCAGAAATTTAGAAATATTTAGAAAGCAGAAGTATTACAACTTGAACATACAATATCTGAAAACATACAAAATAAACAAAACACTTGACAGGTCAGTAGTGGGCTAGTCACCACATTCAAAACACGACAGGACAAACAAAAACAAAGCAGCCAAACTGGAGAAACAGAAAAATGTGGACAGGATTTCAGGGAATTGCAAGATAACAACCAAAATGTGCAAGTAGAGAGTCAGGAATCACAAAATAATATCCAATGATCAAAATCACATAAGCAGATAAACACAAGAAGGAAGCAGAAATTCTGTTTGAAGAAACATGTGTATATATTCAACAATGCTTTTGATATCCTATCAGATGAAATCCATA